TCCCATGACCCTCTCTTGGCTGCAGCCCTGCTGCATTTCACAGAGCAAGGATGAAGGGATGAAAGTCAGACCAGAGCCTGGAGGAGAATGGGGCCAGGGGAAGGGGCTGGTACTTTAGTATGCAAGCTGGACATCACAAACTGATATGTTTTTACATCAGTTATAAGCCCTGCTGGATTTTCCCTCCAGTCCACACCTTCTCTACATCAAGTGCAGGCAGAGAAATGCTGTGCTTAGGTCTCCAGCCTCCACCTGCTGTTGCCCCCCAACCCCCAGGCACGCAGCTGTTGAGTGATATTTTATTTCCATGCCCTTTGCTCCCTCCCTGAGCTGTATGGAGACGTGGGGATGTGTTTCTCTGGGGCAGCTGGGCAGAGCCCTTCAGCCATCTGCCCTGCTACCTGTCCTGGGACCATGACCCCAGAACAGCCCCTCTTGCCATGCTGGGGGAAAAAAAGGGATGCTTCCCTATATCTGTGTCACTGGTTTTTACTATGAGTCTGTTCTCATAATTTATTACAATTCTGTAGCTCCTGGGTTTATGCCAGGCTAGACATTACAGTGTAGTGGGGGTGGAAGATATTTTGGTACATAGTTTGAGGATCGATGTGTTAAATTGAAGTTGTTGCAAAACCAGGACTACATCAAAACCTTGATTTACTGAGAAATGCACAGAAGGTGACACATGTCCCAGCTGCACCAAGCCAGCCTCAGCATCTGAAAGGGCATCCACTTCCAGCAAAAACACAGCTTGGGGAAACTAAAGCCAGTGGCTGAAGGCAACACACCCTGTGCAACCAGGCTCCCAGCTCCCCTGACCCTGTCCTGGGGTCTGTGTGATCTGACAGGGTGAAAATTTGCAGGGGCAGCCTATGTGGAGAGGGAAGAAAACAGCCAGCTTGCTCATTCAAGCTGTGCCCAGCAGTACATGCCAGGTGTACTTACCCGTGCCATCATGACATCAGTATCTAAGTATACAGAGATGACAAGCCACATGAGGGGCCATTAAAAATGCCAGAGGTCACCACATTTGAGACTGATGCAGCAGATCCAACCCACCCAAATTTGCTGCTCAGATTTTGTAATACGTTCTTGGGGTGAGTGAGGCTTTGACAAGAAAAAGAGACAGAGTGGATATAAGTGATCCCAGGCAAGCCCTGGCCAGGGTGAGTGGTGAAAGAAGGAAGGTTGCTGCTGCCTCAAAGAGCTGTGATCGGGAACAGGGATGGTTTGGGGGAGCAAGCTGGGTTACATGGGCTTGGGGCACTCTGCCAGCCCCAAAGTGCTCAGACCTGGCAAGCTCCCCAGTGCTGGCCCAGCTCCTGACACAGCTTTGCAATACCAGCTCTGGTGGTTTCCCGCAAAACCCCCATGTTTTCACAAAACAACCTTTTCATTTTTAAGATGTTTTTATGTGCTGCATCAGTCCTGAGTTGCCAACTTCAGAACTTACCTCCTTTTCTTCCTTCCTCCTTTCTCCCTCCCAGCCAGCCTGGAGACAGATCTCTCCTTTAAGATGAGCTGCACCATTTTCAGAGATGACGTTTTTTTAAAAAAAAAAAAAAAAAGAAATAAATGGAAAGTGAAGGGAAAATAAGTTTTCCTTTTTTTTCATATTAAACAGCTCATAAAGGAAAGTCAAAACACAGGGACATCATAACTCAAAAATCTCTACAAGAATAAAAGATCTGAGAGAAGTTTCCAAGCTTTCTGTAGTATAGATAGAAATCTATATACTATATATAGTAGATAGATAGATAGATAGATAG